GTTCACTTTCATTATATAAAGGAAACAAAGAAATGTTTTTTTGTCAAAAAAATTTTGTTTAGTACATGATACAATTCGATAAAAAATAATTTTATTGAATAATGAAGGTTACACACACATATATATAAGAATTACAAGAAAGAAATCTAATCATAGTAAGATAATAACTATAGTAAAAATACCACAAGGAAATACTATGATAGGGAAGGTAATTAACAATGATATTTATTTCCTAGTGTCCTTATTATTCATAATTTCTCTCACATGATGATCATGGGTAACAAGAAGCAACTTGGAGCATAAGTACTAGAATAGAGCTGACAGAAGCAATTTTGTGAGGGTGGGCGTTAGAAGTAAAGAGGCCAATCTTTGCATGACGAGGGAACTTTAAGGTGCGTTTGATGAGTTTTTTTCCAGTGACAGCGTTGACGATTGGAGCAAGTGTGAAGAGTTTCTCTTTTCTCCTTGTGAGTCGTTCTCTACTTCTCTATCGTTTTTCATGTTCTCGTTCTCTACACAAAAAAATATAATTTTTCTGTTCTTCGTTCATGCACTTGAGTTTTTTTGGAGAGAGAGATGGTAAAGGATGGAAGTTTTTAAGCATGCTTATAACTTTTTGGAGAGAAAGAAAAAAGAAATCTACCTGTATAAGAGTAAAAAAGAATGAAAATATCAAAATATGTGTCCTAATGTTTTTACACCAAAACAGGAGTATAATGGCAGGGTAATTTAAGAGTAAGTGTTGGCTGTGTGACGGAAAAGTGATCATACAATGTAGTATGGCAGCATGATCAGTCAACCGTCGGCGATTCAAAGCGGCACTCTGGTGGCCGTCGACAAGAGATGATAATGTGGTGGTGGTAGTGTGACAGTAACAATGTGACATTGTGGTGAGCGTGGTAGTGTAATAATGACAGCGTAAACTCTTATTTTGGTCTTAAAAATCTTTTAACCCATATTCTGTATTTTTATGGTTTTTACTCATATCGAGGGAGTTTTCTCGAAAAAAAGAATAAGAGACGATGGCTGTAAGACACGCTCGTCAAGATCAGTGGCGGCTATTAAGCGCACCCCCTATTTTTAGAAGGAAAATCTTTATTCCGGTACCATGATATAATTTGATAATAATTGGTTTTATTAAATAATGAATGTTTCACCCCTATAAATAAGAATTAAAAGAAATAGTTTTAATTTTAGTAGGAGAAGAATTATAATAACAATCCTTTATATATTATATTTGGGAGTTTAACTCCTAGAATTTTGACATTTGTCATGCTGACGGGAATTTTTTTTACACTTCATAAGCCATGTCATTATATTGGACTTACTCAACATTTCAAACGGGTTGGACAATGATTCATTACTTTGAGCTTCTTTTATTTGGGCTACTCTGTGTGGAATTCATTCGCAAGTCTGAATAAATCGATACATCAGTGGAACTTTCCTTTGATTGCACCTCCCTGCGATATTCATCTTCGAATGCTGCGAGATTTCTGAGAATATGTGATTGGAATTAATCTCTTTCCTTCTTCACGGTCCTTCTTCACGGAGATTCCAACGATCGTTACCAAGAATAGGTAACTTTCCCTTAAAAAATGATAATTGTTTTTGGAATAATTGGACTTCTTTCCTTCTTATGATGATTAGTCTCTGCGAATTTTTTTTTTCTTCTTTCGAATTTTCTGGTTCAAATCTCTAGATTTTCTACCCTTATTGCTGTAAGTTTCCTTCTTGCGATTTATATTAGGTCATATATAAATCAAATTTTAAGTAAGCCATTTCATCAATCTCTGGATGAATTTGGTACCGTCTGATCCAGGACTACCTCTAAAGTTCCAAAGAAGATAATTTCCAATAGTCTTATGTTTTGCTATGACTATTAACAAAAGTCAAGGTCAAACATTGCCATTTGTTGGCTTATTTTTAACCAAGTCAGTGTTCACTCATGATCAGCTTTATGTTGGTGTTAAGGAAGTGAAGACAAAGACATGATTAAAAATATTAGTCTTAGATGACAATGGAAATCCTTGCAGCCATACAAAAAATGTTGTATACCCTGAAATCTTTCAAAAAATTTGGTATTAAAGCAAACTTTGTTGTGTGTAGATTCAATTCCTCAAATATTATTCTTTTTACTTTGCCTTTCTTCTCTGTGTTATTATAAATCATGCATGAGGTATATTTTCTTTATTCCGAAAAAAAAATATTGCATTGAATAAATTCAGAATCGACAAGATATTCGTTCGAACCCGTGCATTGCACGGGTAGGAATACTAGTATCATAAGAAAATACAGAGTAATATAATATGGTAGGTGATTAATAATAATATTTGTTTCCTTGCATCCTTATTATTCTTAATAGTACGAATTAATATCTTTTAAATGCTTTCGGAGAAATTAAGAACAAAACAGAGAAAAGAAGAAATTACAATCTTTATGTTATGTCATACAAAATGATTTTTTTGACATTCAAAGCTAAAGTCATATTAAGACTCGAGACATCTATAGTACTGCATTGGTAAAATTAATAGTTCATACCCCCTCTAATTCCACTTGAACCCCAACCCTCCCGCCCACACCACCTATATTGTTGATTTCGATTTTCGACGGTATCTTCAGCAAACAATTTAACCACTAGAAATCATCCTAAATAGGACTAAAACATAGATAAAAGTACCAAAATAGGACTTTCATGTTTTTTTTCCCGGAATAGGACATTGCACTGTGGTAATGTGACTTTGCATTGTGGTAATGTGACAGTGTACATGTGCAAATTACTATACTTTCTTGGTAATGTATATGACCATGTTTGGTAATGTAAGTCTTATTTCGGGAATAAAAACATGGAAGTCCTATTTTGATATATTTTCAATGTTTTAGTCCTACTTTGGTCTTTTTCCCTTTAACCACGTATTCTTTTATAAAAGAAAAAGTGAACCAATTAATTGTATCATCTTAAAGAGATGAAAAAATGAATAATTTATTTTATTTTGTTTTATTGCAAAAGAAATATTTTAGACCGTGTCTTTTCTCAACAAAGAAAAAAAGTGACAAATTAGTTTTTGGAAGCTATGAAAAAAATAAAATAGGTAATTTATGATGTGATTATTAACGTAGTAGACATCAGCTAGACGAATCCAAAAACACCAACAAATAGGAATCCTCTCCTTCAACTTATAATTAGCTTTCTCCTCCTTTATAAAGATAGAGGACCGATTACTCTTAAAAATAGAGTTAAAAAACAAAATTAAATTACACAAAAATATTCAAAATAACAAATATTACATAGATAAGGCTGGAGATCATAAAAAACAATTTTTATAACATCATTTCCAAACATAAAAGCATAATCCACATGCTAACAATTCAAAAAAAAACTCAAGATCTTTGGAATGCGAGTAGAGAGCTAATTTTAATTTGTATTTCTGAACATTAATGACAATGAAAGTGGAATTAAAAGTTTAAAAGGGAAAAAAAATATTTTTGAACATTATCTAAAAAACCTTTTTCTTGTTTTATACAGGGTTAAAATCTAATGTGGCTGGCCTTATATTCTTAGAGCACACGGTATACCTATCACGCCCATAGGCGTGATCCTCACTTTGACGCCTGGGAGGCGTTAAACACCGCCCCCCTCCCTCGTTATCGGGGCGTTAAAACCCCCGCGTCATTCTTTTGACGCAATTTGAGGCGTGATAACGCCTCTTTCTTCTTTTTTTCTCTTTCTTTTTTCCTCTTTTCTTCTCTATAAATTAAATTAAATTTTTTTTTAAAAATTCAACACAAATACAAACTTCTCTCTATCTATCATTTTTTTAAAAAAATAATTATTATTCAAGTATTTTATTTATTTTTTCATGAATGTAATTTTTTATTTAATGAATGTAATGTTTTTATTTAATTAATGTAGTTTTTTTATAATGAATGCAATTTTTTTATTTAATGAATGTAATTTTCTTTATTTAAAATCATGGAAACTGACCTTTCTACGTTGTCGGGTTTCAAACAGATGATATACGAGCAAAGACAAAGAGAGATCAAGGCGAAATATAATTTACCTTAGTTTTTTTAATTAATACTCCCTCCGTCCGGGAATGATGTTCCCGGTTTGACTTTTCCTCATTTTTAAGGAGGGTTGACAATGAGAAGAAAATGTCCAAAATACCCTTTTGCTAGCATTACTCCTGCCCTCATCAGGGCACTACCACCGCTCCAATCAATGCCGCCGACAACCCTCACTACTACTGCCGGCCCTCTCAACTGCCGCCGCCCCCATCGCCTCAATCTCCAGCATAATTGCCAATCCCATTAGACCCACCCCAAAATTCAAGATTTAAAAGACTGATTAATAAACTGGAGAAGAAAAACATATGCCCCGTCGTCGCTAGCCCACTATCGCGGCTGGCTCTACGATCGCATCCATCGATTGTTGTAGATCTCGCAGATCTGGTAAACAAGCAAACATGAGAAAGAATGGAAAGAAGAAAATGAAGAAGAAGAAAAGGAAGGAGCAGTTTTGGAGAAAAAAGGGGCCGAATGGGGAAAGAAAAGAAGAAATCTGATCCAAAGAATGATTTGAAGATCTAGAGAAAGAAAAGAAGGCAAAAAAGGATAGGGGGTGAAGACGAGGGAGAGGAGAGAGAAGTAGAAGAGAGGTGGAGAGAGAATGAGAGAGGGTAGAAGAAGAATGACAGAGGTCCGAGTGAGAAAAGGAGAAGAAGAAAGAAAATAGAGTAATTGGGTGGGGGTATTTTGGGTAGTTTATGTGTTAAAGAGTAGAATGAGAACATCATTTCCGGACGGAAAAAAACGTACAATAGGAACATCATTTCCGGACGGAGGGAGTATATCTTTTTTAATATTGTCATTTTTTTATTTTAATGAATGTATTTTCTTTGTATTCGTGTTTCAATATTATTAAATAATAAATTAATTTAAATTTATTAATTTAAATTTAGAAAATGTATATTTAAAAATGTAAAAAATAAAAGTTTGAAGCCCCGCTTCAAACTCATTTAGTGAATTTTAGGTGTACCAATGACACTCAAACGTATTTCGAGTGCTCTGAAGCTGCTGTATGTATTCATCTTCCTACCTTTTGTGGCTGTTGACCGGCCTTCAAAACCTCGAACTACTAGCAATGGCGATGCCTTGGGCGATGCGCGCTCTGCTGCTCCTTTCAACACTCTGTCTCTCGGCCCAGTCGAAAAGCGACACGAACCACGTATACTCGCCGTGCTCCGATGCAAAGATACAGAGGTCCGACGGGTTTACCTTCGGGGTTGTGTTTGCTCCCCGCAATGCAACCTTTGTCACCAGAAACAACAACGCCGTCCAGCTCTCCCCATGCGATAGCCGCCTTTCTCTGTCCGGAAACGCTCAGATCGCTGTTTTCCGGCCCAAAGTCGACGAGATCTCTCTCCTCACCATCAACACCTCCAACTTCTTTCCGGTAACATATTCAACTCCTACACACACACTCATCGAAGTAATAGATGTGATAGATCGTCTATTCATGTTTTTGTACTGATTGCGGTTTGATTTGTATGTGTTAATTTTAGTATAGGGCTGTGCTATATTTAGGGCTGCTTCGAACACAAATGCATTTCTGGAAACTTACATCATTAGGCCAGATGTTTATTTTGGGAATTAATGAAGGTGCAATTAGGTTTTCTTTGGGTTTTGATTTCAAAGTAGTTTCACAAGCTCCTGTAACACTTCAATGAATAAATAGAAAGTAGTGATATGAAATGAAGAAGAAGAAGATTCAGGCTAAGACATGCAGAAAATGGGGTTTGGAGACAAAAAAAATTAATTGGAGTGCAAGACAGAGTGTTAATTCATCCATAGTTCTGAAAATCTCTCTCTCTATATATATATGCGTCAGCTATGTAATAAGTTTTCATGACAATTGGAGATTCTAAAGAAAATCCTAAATTCTAAAGCCCCCACCTCATTCTAGCTCCACAAGAGCAGCAGCACATACCAATCCTGTGCAAGGGACATTTGTAACTTCCTTTCCTACTGCCTCGAAGGTTTATCATTTGCTCCTCATTCAAAGTGCAACATTTCTTTTACATTCTTGATCAGTTTCAGCATTTCCAGTAGAATCTTTAAGGGTCTAAGCTATGCTAGCAATTAACTCCAGGTAGATACACTAGATTCTTCGTGGGAAGCAATCATTACTAAGGGCATGATTTCTTCTTTAGTCTTTTATTTGAGAATAATTCTTGATGATCTTTATTGAGAGAACTCTCTCTTTAAATAGAGGTTACAAGATAACTATTACAATGATACTATATTTTAGAACCCCAACTTCCTCATGTAGAGTTGTTTTCCTCCAAGGTTCCTTGTTTGAGATTCACCAAGTCACCCAGGGGTGTTTAACTCATAGGTGGTCAGGTGGTCCATTTCAAATCCTTTGACAGTTTGCCAATCAGTAGCTGCCATGTCGCCATCCCCCTCAAACTGATCAAACCATATTTGGGCTCTCCCGGTTAGGTGTAGGGCTCTGAGGCTCACCCGCTCTGTTGGGCCGATCCACTGTGCAACGAAGAACCTCTTGCAACATTTTAGCCAATTCCAAGGGTGCTCCATCCTATCATAAGTAGGAAATTCAATTTTTTGTTACTTTGATCTTTGGGATCATTGAACCTGGATCCCTCTCGTCCTGGTTGTCCCGGAATGCCCCCATGATTCTGCTGCTCTGTATCTCTTTTTCACAGCTGTCCCTGTCCTTTCTTAGTAAGAGGGTGGAGATTTGGTGATCTGCTCCTCTAACAGCTGCTGGCAAGATGCCATTTTCCCCTCCAAGTCAGTCTGCCTGGCAGCAATCTTCTCCAGCAGTTCTTCTATCTGCTAACTTGATTTCTCACACTTTGCCATGATTGGCTCTGATACCAAGATATTATGGGCTCATGCAGAAGATTGGATGACTGATCGTGACACACTTGTTTCTTCCTGGGAATCAATCGTTACGATGGGAAGGATTCCCTGCTTGGAGAGGTTCGACCTTTAGTCCTTTATTTGAGAATAGTTCTTAACAGTCTTTATTTGAGAGAACTCCCTCTTTAAATAGAGCATATCAATACGATAGCTAGTAGAACTGCTAGCAATGAACAACTGCTATAATTAAATAGAAGCAAATGTAATTAGAATAAACTCCAACTTGTTCCTGCAATATTCTCCTTCGTGCAATGCATTATGCATGAGTGCTAACACATCGGCCAAGATACTGTAGAGTTAGAATGAGATATTAGCAGCTGTGTCTGGTTTTGGTCTCATATAAATACTTTGTATTGATAAATGTTAACACTCACAAAGAGAAAAACTGGTGTTTGTAGATTTCAACAAATGTATAATATCTCTTGTTCACTGCACCGAGTTTCTATTTATTACTCTTCTGATCATCCTCCTTTCACCATTAGGTTTTGCTAAGCATTTTGATATACTCGTTTTCTATTTTTTCTCTACTCATACTTCACACCCATTTTTCTCTACTTTTCTCACACACATTCTGATCATACTTTCCTAATTAAGGTTTGGAAAGGTTTAGGAGGAAAAGGTATTTGGCCTCTAACTAGGATTTTTAATGATATTTTAACATCTAAAAAGACGCATAACAAATGGAGGAAGAGCATTTTGGTTCCTATTTACAAGAAAAAGGGAGATATTCAAAGTGTTGGAAACTACATAGGGATCAAGCTCATGAGTCATACAATAAGTTGTGGTTTTATGTGCGATAGTACTACGAGTGTGAGAAGCCAAAGCGGAGTAATAGGAGAACTTCCCATTGGTGTAAGATTACACCAAGGTTCATTGCTAAGCCCATATCTGTTTACACAAGTCTTAGAAGTGCTTACCGAGCATTTCCAAGAACTTGTACCATGGTGCATGCTTTTTTCTTGGGGCATCATCCTTATGGGCAAATCTGGAGTGGATTTAAATGGGAAGTTGGATTTAGGGAAACAAGCTTTGAACTTGCATGCCTTGCATATAACTATATACTCCCTTGCCGTCCCATAGTATTTGTCCACTTTCTATTTTAGGCAAAAAAACTAAACGGAATGTCCATATTATCCTTATGATTTACTTAACTCACTCAGCTCCCACCCCTCTTATCTAGACTTTCTTTCTAAGCCACAATTTTTTTTACCCACATCCACCCAAATACCTTAACGAAATCTTGTCCGATCATTTCCAGATTTGCAAATCTTGTCTGTTCTTTTTCTTCATCTATCCCTACCTTCTCAGACTTTTTTCGATTTGCTTTTCTATATTAAAACTAGCAGATTTTCTCAGGGATGTATGAGGAAGGACTTTGCCTGGGGTTGGGTGGCGGTTGCGATGGGTTGTGCGGCTGAGGCTAGGTTGGGCGGCTGGATGGTTGGGTGAGGCCATCGGGAACGGTCCTGGAGTTGGGTGGCTGCAAATGGCTGGTGGAGGTCGGGATTGGTTGTGCGGCTGTGATTTGTACCATGGGGTAGCTGGCCAATGGATGGTTGGGGAAGGCCATTGGAATGCGATTTGGTGAGTTTGGGATAAAGGTTGGGACTGGTTTTGTGGTTGGTTGTCTTCTCCGTCAGATGGAGATGGATGACGGCAAACAGTATCTGGACAGTGGAAGACATCGGAGATTGGATGTGGGGCATGAAGTTGGGGTGGACGGTGGACATCGGGAATGACGGGCGGTTGAGGGATGTTGGGTAACTAGGGGAAATTGTGTCACTTTACTCCTCACCTTGGTATTTGTGCCACTTTGAAAGTGGACAAATATAGAGGGACGGAGGGAGTAAATCACACTAAGATAGAGTATATGAAGTGCATGTTTAGCAATGGAAGGATAAATACTAACATTGTGGTGAAAGTTGGAGAAAAAACTATACCACAAGGAAAGAGATGTAAGTATCTTGAGCGTATCATTCAAGACAGTGAAAAAATAGGGGATGAGGTAAACCATAGGATTCAAGCAGGTTTGTCCAAATGGTTGAGTGCGTCATGCTTTATATGTGACAAAAAAGTACTTTCAAACTCTAAGGAAAAAAATTTCCATACTACAATCAGGCCAACTATGTTGTATGGTACAGAGTATTGTTGGTCAGTGAAGGGTGAATGCGAACACAAGATTATTGTGGCCAAAATAAAGATGCTTCGGTGGATGAACGGTCATATGCGTATGGATATAATAAGGAAGGAGGATATGATAGCTAAAGTTAGAGTGACATCTATGATTGAAAAGTGGGTGGAAGCTTGTCTTAGGTGGTTTGGACCTGTGGAGAGAAGACCAGGAGAGAAGACCAATAGAGCATCCACTGAGAAGGGTGGATCAAATGAAGGTGGAAGCTTGTCTTAGGTGGTTTGGACATGTGGAGAGAAGACCGGGAGAAAAGACCAATAGAGCATCCACTGAGAAGGGTGGATCAAATGAAGAATAGACATGTGGCTAGAGGAAGAAGTAGACCTAAGAAGACATGGCACGAAGTGGTCAAGGGTGACCTACACGTGAATGATCTTGTTGTAGATATGATACATGATAGGGGCAATGACGTCGTTTGATCCATGTAGCCGACCCCACCTAGTGGGATAATGTTTGGTTGTTGTATTTGTTCTATTATGAAACAAGATCAAAACATACGCAAGTTTTTTTTACTATTTTACACACATTTCTTGTATTTATAATACATTAAAATGCTGAAGAATAATGAATTCATTATGTTATAATAATACATTCTTGAATTGATACACTGTAATTTTTTGATGAAGCAGATTGGCTTCTGGTTGAATCTTATGTTCAATTCATAAAATCTGGAAAAGAGAATTGAGATTCACCGCTAGTAAATTTTACGATTCAATTCACTTTAATGTTTGAAATCTGATATTACGATGGGTTTAGGACTTTAGGTTCATCCCTCTGTTTGGGGGGGGGGAGGGGGGGGGGGTACCCTGTAAATAATATATTAAGAAACCCAAGTTTGTGGGGGATGGCGACACCTAACTGGGAGAGCCCAAATATGGTTTGATAAGTTTGAGGGAGATGGCGACATGGGGGCTGCTGATTGGCAAAGTTTCAAGGAAGCGTGCCTGGTTTAAAATGGATATGTGATCCTTTCTAAGAATGCAGTATTTTTTGTCACTTAAGTTGATATTTTTTTACATATGAATATGTGATCTTCTCTAAGAATGCAGTATGTTGCTTGTCTAAACATTGAAAGTAGAAGAGGACACGCAATTCAAACTTTTGTTTTTCAGCAACATCCGCTATGTGTCCTATTTCTGGCTATTGAGTTTCTTTTTAACAGTACATAAGTTAGTTATGTTCTTTCATATGAACAACAGGATTCCTATGGTGGGTATATGGTGGCATTTGCAGGTCGAAAATATGCTGCAAGGTCTGTCCCAGCTTTTGTTGCAAATAGCAGTTACATTGTGACAAGCTTTACATTGGTAAGAAATCCTTAATGCATCATTTCAAATGAAACATCATTTATTCTTCAAGCAGCTTGATCAATTAGAGTTTGTTAGATTAAAGGATAGATAGTCTGCTGAAATGGATGGATCTGCTAAATTTTCTCAAATGAAGAGCATTTGATAACACGCCCATTTCAGCCAAACTATTACATCTAAAGTGACTTACTGTGTTGATAAATACTACTATAATAAACTGAACCAACCGGTTACGTAATACATCTGTGTGGTTCAGGTTCTTGAATTCAAAAAGGGCAGGCTGCAAAACCTGTTCTGGAAGAGGGACGGGTGCACATCTTGCAAGCACTCCTCAAACTTCGTGTGCCTCAATCATCAAGACTGTGCAATGAAGGTCAGCTCCTGCAAGAACCGAGGAGGCAATGTGGACTGTAGCCTTGGAATACAGGTTGCGTTTTCCGGCACCGATGGGCACGAGTCGGTCTTCAACTCGTGGTACGAAGTGAAGAACCTTCGCCAGTACTCGCTGTACAGCGTATATTCCAATCTCAAAGATTCCCTTACCAGCCAATACAATAAATTCTTCTGATTTTGTGTTTGGTGTTGTGCATATATCTTGGTTTCTTCTCACTGGTCATTTTTTCTTTCCGGATTTCAAAACACCGTTCTCTATGTGTGCTGATGGTGAACAACATTTGGATGGTTCTGAGAAGTGTATTAATTATAATTTGTATTTGGGCTCTACTGCATATAGGATGATGGGGATGAAGTAAACGCAACCAGCCATTTGCTTAATACTCCTGTCAGTGTCATATACTCCCTACGTCTTGCAAAAGTGTTCTTTGTTTGACTTGGCATGGAGATAAAGAAATGAAAACTTGTGTGGCTGAAAGTAGTGTAGAGGAGAAAAAATAATACAAGCCATAAAAAAATTTACCAAAAGTAGGGATGACAATTTCACCCGACCTGATTTATCGGATGCAAAAACTTGAAAAGAGAAGGATGAGGTGACACATTCACTATTAAGTATTGTAGATTTGTAGATCTTTTGATGTAATGTTTAAATATGTATTTTTTACTTTTTTTATTTCAACACCATTTTTTATATAAAATGATTTGAAAATAACTTCAGTCAAACATCGTAAACCGAATCAGACGATTTAAAGTTGGACGAAGGGAATAAATTTCTTTGACTTTAATTAAGATTTTGAAAAATTTCTTCAACGGAGTAAATAATCTCGTAAAAACAAGATTTTGGAAAAACTAACTTAAAAATAAGTAAGCAAAATCTATTTATTTTGCTGACTTATAAGTAATTTATAAGTATAAAGAAACATGTTATCAATTAAACTTTTAAATTAAAAACAATTTATAAAAATTTTGACCAGAAAACCACTCACAATCCCTCATATATTAAAGGAAAAATTATCTCAAATAATTCCACCTTTTCGTGCTCTTTCAAAAATAATCCCACTTTTCACACTCACCAGAAATAATCCCACCTTTCTGCATGTGTGCGAGTTTTGGGTCACCGTTAAAAAACTAACGTTCACTTAACGAAAATTTTGAAAAATGCCCTTTTTTCGCAGATAAATGAAAGATGGGATTATTTTAGGAAAATTCTCTCTTTTTTCATATTTTTAATTTCTAATTCTAAATTTAAATGTATTTTTATTTTTTGGAAAAATAAAACCAAATTTAAATATTTTTAGAGTGAAACTAATTATTTTTTTCAATAACCGATAATCTGGTAATAATTAGAAAATAAATTATTCTACACAATAGAGCTAATTTATTTGCTTCATAACTAACTACATTTTTTTTGTAAGTTGCATTTATTTTTCTTGAGTGACACTTCGAATTGTTTTTTGATACATTATTATTTCTTTAAAAAAAATTGCACTACAAAACTTATGAATATTTTTCGATAGTTCTATATAACCATTTTTTGTGAAACAACATTACAATAGTTGTGAAAATAACACAACAATTTTATCTCTGAAATGGAACTAATAACTTTTATACCTCACAACAATTTTTTTGTATTGAAATTTCTTTCTTAATTGATACTCTGAATTATTTTTGATAATTCAATACCGAGTATTATATTTTCACAAAACAAAAAAAACAAAATTTGTAAATCGTTAGACCAATCTCTAACAAGAGTGTACTGTTATATTTTTAAAAACATTAATTTTAAATTTAAAATTAAAAAAAAGAAAATTTTCCTAAAATAATCCTACCTTTCATTTATTTGCAAAACCAAGCATTTTCTAAAACTTCTGTTAAGTGGCCGTTAGTTTTTTAACGGCGACCAAAAACTCGCACACATGCATAAAGATGAGATTATTTTCGGTAACAGTGGAAAATGAGATTATTTTTGAAAGAACGCGAAAAGAGGAATTATTTGAGATAATTTTTCCTATAATAAAATACTACCTCCGTCCCATTAAACTTTTTAAAAAGAAAAAAGGCGGCTTAAAAATGTATAATTTTGATATTGTTTTCTAATTTTATCCTTTCGTTATAATAAAATAAGATATGATGTGTAAGATAAACGATTCATAATTAAAAAATAATACTCCGTATCAAAATAACTCATTTTTAAAGCATGCTTTTTTTCATTTTTGAAAAGTTTTATGAGTCGCGGGAGTACTGTATTAAATAAAGTAGAGTAATTTACTTAAATAGGACTAAAAAATAATGACTTTCCCAATATAGGACCATATGTTTTTATTTTTCAATGTAAGATTTTTGGTCATTATGAATTAGTCATTATTCAAGTAAATATTCATCATTACTGGACATTATTCCACCCACTAAGATATTAATAAGTCATATTTAGGAAATAAAACATAAAATCATTATGTTTTAGTCCTATGTAGTGCAAATTTCACAATAAAGAGTTTTATTTGTATTTATAGCTAAAATCACGCTTTTCCTCAGCAGTACGATACCCACCATCGCCGAGACGCCGACCCAAGTCTTCTCTCTTTCTCTCTGATCATCAATGGCGGAAGCCAGATTCACCCTTGCCCTTTTAATTTCTCTTTCTGCAATATTTGCTTCTAGCTTCGCCGACCCCATTGATTTCCGGCTCTGCAGTACGTCCCTCTGACCTTTAACTTGTCCATACCAGTTATATTCGATTCGTTTGTTGTTTTTATGACATCCCGCTTAAACTTGTTCAGATGACTAGATTCAGAGGTTTTAGGATCCCAGATTGCTCGGTTCTTAGCCGTTCCACGAAATTTTTTATTGGTCTTGTGATCTTGTCTCTAGATAAAGTTTCTTATTTTCCTTTGTTTGGGAACTAAATTATCATTTACGATTTCGGATATCTTTTAATGGTACAGATTAACTGTAAGAGGGTAAAGCTAGACACCTTCGTTACTCTTTAGATATTCTTTTCAAAAAAAGAAAAAAATAAAGCTTATGAAGCTAAATGCCTAATTTGTTGCTAAATCCATACTAAATGTTGTGGGGAAAATATGAAGTCACTAATTTTGACTAGTGTAGAAGTTAATGTAATCTAGTATTCTTTTAGGCCGTATGGGCTACCATTTGGACTTTGGCAAAGTTTTATATCTAAACCAAGGTGAACAAAGGTCTCTTGGAAAGATGGACCCTTCCCCAGGTCATACTCTTGTGGGATTCAACTGAGTTGTTGTCGTAAGGTGTATGGCAATTGCCAATTTCACAGTCTTAGCAGCATGCTCAAACATGATGTGTTCTGTTTGTGAAATTGGCCTTCAGTGTACCCCAAACACGACCCTTGGACACTTTCTTATGCTCTTTTGTTTTTAATATGTCAATTTTAATTTTCGGCTGGACTTCTCCTTAATTGTTGGATTTTTCATGGTTTGTTGACTGTTGTTGTTGTTGTTGGTTTTTGTTAATGCATGCTTACGCCATACGTGCAGGCAAGAAGAACTATGATGTGAAGGTTAGCGGAGTTGACATAACACCCAGCCCTGTGCAAAGAAGCGTAAACACAACTTTTACTATATCTGCTTCCTCAGGTATCTGTCATGCTGTTGTTAGTATTATTGCACTCCTAGTTGGTTATGTGTCCCACATTTGATGCAACTTTTGTTCTTGTATTCTCTGCAATTACTTGCATGTAATCCAATGATATATTTGAAAATATTTTGATGATTGCTCATTCTTTGCTGTTTATTCATTGTGTTCTCGTGCTTGGCCATGTTGGGCAATCAACATAATCTTGACAGATTGTTTATTTTAGCATATGGTTCCAAAGCAACATTTTTTAGTGGTCAAAATGTTAAGTGTTCTGCAATTTAGCATTTTAAGTTTGGAGAAATAGTAACTAGCACTATAACATGCACCAAATATCAAAATAGCAGCTTCAATGTTCCTATACCAATTGGCATTAGCATTTTAGGGCTATTATTTAGAACTGTATTAATTAACCAAACATCTTTTTTTAAGTAGCGAACTACTAGTACAAACTACAATCTCTGATATGCTAATTGCTATCTGATAGCTGAATTTTCCCCAACAAATGTTTCATGTTTTTTATAAAAAAAAATTCTTATTTTTTATTTTAAAGAATGCTTTTTTTAAGTTTGAACACTTCTCATATTCTCTTTCAAGATTTAATAGAATTATTATTTGTATATGTTAGATATACGATTATCATGGTACATCCAGGGGCATTATAGACGCATCATTTTTATTGACTCAATGTTGCATCAGTATGGATTGAATATATGCCAGCAGAGGGAACTACTTTTATGTCATTAATACTCCGTATATTCTTGTTTCCGCCTGTCTAAGCTCCACAAAAGCACTAGGTCTCACTCTACTGTCTAGAGGCCTCCTAGTGTTTTTCACAATTTCATAATACAAAAGTAAGTATGTGTAGATATCTTAATTGCGTTCATTCCATCTGAACTATACACAAAAGAAGAGGAGAATACAATTCTAAGATGGATAATGATGGTATGCAGAACAAGAGATAGCTAAAAGATGATTAAATCCTGCTTTCAGACATTAAAACAATATAATTTTGTTTTCGTTCTAATCTGTCAAGCATGTTGCCTTAGTTTATGTGTGTGCTTGAGTCAAGTTAGATGAACATAAAAGTTGGTGTTAGTGGCCTGAAATCGCATATTTTGCTATACAAAAACATCAACAACAACATTACCCCAGCGGCTCAAAGGCTTCCTCCCATTGTGGGGTAATGGGGGTCGGACCCTTAGATTTAAAAACATAGAGTGGCTATTTCTTGGTGACCCATAATGAGCGTCGAAAGTTGCATTGACTAACTCCTACTTCACTATTAAAAGAAGCCCAAGTTGTTTAATGAGTCATTTTACTTTATTCCATCATACCCCAAAGCCAAAAAATAGTAAATCTTTGGCCCCAACGGAGATGATGGATGAATTACATATTTTGCTAAAAGTACAACTTTTATTTATCTATGAATGTTCCATTTTATATTTTTATTGTTATTATTATGATTATTACTCCTTCTGGTCCCAAATAAAGTTCTTCTTTTGCATTTTCCAACGTCCCAAAATAAACTTCTTACGTTTTCTATTCACCCCTTCTCCCATTCCCCATAATAGTTCTTACACTTTTTACAACATGTTTTACATTCCTCAACATCCTTTTTCACATTTCCAATAACACTTTTAGTTTTTACCATTCACCTTAAAAACCGTAAAATTCAAATGAATAAGTTTATTTAGGACCCGAGAGAATATTATATTTATAATAATATCATTCTGATTTTTATTTTCATACATTTTCCTGAGTTCTT